AGTAGTAGTAGTAGTAGTAGTAAGTAGTAGTAGTAGTAGCAGTAGCAGTAGCAGTAGCCGTAGTCGTAGTCGTAGTCGTAGTAGTAGTCGTAGTAGTAGTAGTAGTAGTAGTAGTAAGTAGTAGCCGTAGTAGCCGTAGTAGCCGTAGAGGAAGGAGAGTCGAGCTCAACATCGAGCCCTCGTAGATCTGCTTACGGCTACTTCTGCAGTAGAGTAGAGTAGAGTAGAGTAGAGTAGAGTAGAGTAGAGTAGAGTAGAGTAGAGTTTAGTACATTATAGTACAGTATCGTATAGTATAGTACAGTATAGTATCGTGGTAGTATTCACAGTTCTTGTCTGCATAGGCATAGTCTTCTCAAACTAGTCGCGGGTACTACTAAGTGTGAGAAATCACGCAGCGGCAGCTGCAACAGTATCTACGCAGCATGGGCGAACATATCTCACGGTGGCAGCCAAGATAGACTCTGCTTGGGAGTTGAACGGCACTGGTACTGCGAAGAATTTTCGCATATTGGCGCAAGAAAAAAGTGCTGCTGCAGCTCAGGCGTTGCATTCAGGTAGTCGCTATTTGCGCGTTGAGAAGATGAGAAGGAGGGTACATGCTCATGCAAGATGCAATCTTTGGCGGCGACTATCTCGGACATGCCGTATCGGCTCTTTGCAGGGCTCAGTCCCTCCCTCCGATACCGAATTCCCGCTTGTTCCGTTACTTACCATCACTAGATTATGTCGCTTGGCTGCAGTGTAGGTTGCAGGCTGCGAAGCTTATGAGCTTCAGAGACGCTGGCTTGAGTTTTGAGCACTCAGGCTTCCTTCAACTTGCAGGTCCCTGCCTTCCGTCTGTGGCGAACCTGGAATATCGGATTTGTCAGGACATCCCCAGCTCTCGGTCTGTGTCTCGGCCTTGCGGCCTGAGTTACGAAGATGAGGGCGACACCCTGCCTGCCCAGCAGCCATGCCAGGTGTTACTGCCCTTCTACTGCAGACCACAGCAGCATCTTGGCTAAAGCTCCGAAGATCTCCGAAGCCATGCACGGTAGCCTTGGCGAAATCCAGGCCTGGCCTGGAAACCTCTTCACGACTTCATGGACGGACCATGTGCTCCGTGCAGAGCTGACCGGTCTGCCATCATGAGCTGTGATGCCGCGCATCGTTTGTGACAGGTATCACCATCCATTCATAGCATCCCTTTGAAGAAGCAGTACGTTCCGGCCAGATGCCGAAGACATCTCACGCATGACGGACCATTTAGCTTGTTGTGAAAGCCATGGAGCATGGTTGTTACAGTTTTGTGTTTCATCAAGGTTCAGAAAGATGGCAAAGTCGTGGCCTACAAGACCGCGTACTTTGGTCAAGTGTCCTCTGAGCCTGCAAACTTCCTGCGCAGTCATGCCCTTTCTCAATTGCCGGATGGTCTGTTACCTGCACTGTCGAGCCCGGCCACCGTGCAGGTACATGTTGGCGGACCAGAACCGCAGAGCTTCACAGTAGTCTTTGACACCGGGCTCCACGGCTCAGCTGTCTCGAATTCCTCAACTTCGCGGCACTGCCGCAGCGAAAGAGGCATTATGTATGTATGTATGTATGTATGTATGTATGTATGTATGTACACACTCGCTCGTTTCGGGCACAGTGTCACAAGTCGGACGCAGCCCCTGTGGGGTGCAAAACTAATTAAGGGGTGAAAGGCCGCACATTGGACCATGCAAAGACCCCGTTGCGAGCGAACGTGACATCGCCTTCCTGCCCGAAAACAAGACCAGACACGCCTGTGAAGGTCTGTATAAGGTAGGAAGGGGACGAGGGCACAAGAAGTGCAGCAGGAACGCCAAGAGTCCAAAGGCGCCAGCAGAAACGGACCAAGTCCCCGCAGAGAGAGGCGTGGCAAAGATCAGCCTGGTAGGACTTCGGGCTGGACAGCAGACTGATCGGGGGAAGGAATCCCCGTAGGCCAACCCTGGAAACCAAGAAGACAGTAGCAGTGGCTCGAAGGCACTCTTCGTGACAAAACCAAACGTCATGGCCTTCTGGGTCCCAGGAAGAAAGAGCACGTCCGGGACCGACAAGGACCCATGTAAAAGGCCAGGGTCCAACAGCAGGCATGCGCACACAAGTGACATCGAGGAAGGGACAGAGCGCGGCCTCTTGGATGCGACGGGCACTGTCAGCACGGATGGCATCACGCAGGGCGAGCCTGCTAGCACCAAGGTCGGCAGAGCAAGGGGCTTGTGACCTGCACGACTTGGTTTAGCTGAGCTCCATAGCAGTCTGGCAGTAGAACAGGTCATAGTTTTCCCTGCTTTCAATCGTTGAATAAGACTGTTCAGTGCTTTTTGTTTTGGGCGTCTCGCGAGAATTGAGAACTCGCATGCGCGGGACTTGCACGAAGTGAGATTTTCTATGTGCGACGTTGGTTGCAAATAAAGCGTGGCGGGTATTAAACCAACACCTTCCGATAAATGATCGAAAGGTTGGTGCTTGAAGCACTGCATGTGTCCTTTTACCTTTCCAGTTCATGCACGGATTAAGCTGAGGTTGTTCTGCTCACTGCGCAACTAACGTTGGCTGGAGTATGAGTGGGTGGAATAGGATAATGGCGACGACGAGAAGGACGAGGCTGAGGAAGACGCCACACATGATGACGACAGCGCCTATCGCCACCGTCTCCGCAACCACCACCACCACCACCACCACCACCACGATAAGAACTTGATTTACGAAACAGCACCGCGGCATGGACCACTTTTCAGAGGTACTCCCCAAGTCCGGAGCAGGCCTTGCGCTTATGTTCAGTTTGTCCAACTTCTGCAGACCCAGGTCAGGACACTTAATCCTGCCGTCAAGCAGTTGTCTGCTTCCAAGAGTCATTGAATAGCGGAAAGAGGCTCTGCAGAGATGCGGCATGCCTTCAGGTTTCAGCTCTGCATGCGCAAAGCACAGAAGATACAACAGGACAGCTTCTCAAACAGCCGCAGCAGCCTTATTTTGGTGTGGTGTCAAACAGAAGTGGCCTGCTCATTGCCGAAGCTTTGGCAGGTCGACATCGAGTATGACGGAACCAAGCTTCGTGCCGATGCCACAGAGCGCGATCAGGCGAAGGGAGGGAGTCACGGACTCGCCGCCATCGTATGATACAGTATCGGTGTGCGCTTGTTCAGGTTGCGATCGCCTTCGGAACGGGCGAAGTCCAGGGTGAGTTTGTCAGCGAGGTCCAGACTATGCCAGCGTGGACACCGACTCTTCCATCACCAAATGTTGCAGGATGTCTGCCTCAACGTTAATGCAGCAATGGCCGGAGGCAAGTCGCACAGAAAGCATCATCCAAAAGAAAGCATCATGCATGTTCTAGCAACTACACTATCACCGGGCAGGCAGGGACTCGTAGTCGACACTGTTATACAGGTGCGGCTAAGACGGATGGATGTGTGAATCTGCGGGTAGCCTCGGCCTGAGTCGGCCTGACTTCCAGTCCCCTGCTTCCATGGTTGCTCTGCTCGTGCTCCTGCAAGCACACCGCAACCCTGCTTAGGTCGTGGCATCGAAAATGACGGAGGATGCGTGCCTTGTGAACTTTGTAGTGGGTGCTGTGTATCTGCATTCTGTTCCAAGGACCCTTTCAGTCATTTCGACTTCGATGGGGTTCTCGGACTTGGACTTGAGTCGCTTGCTCTCAGTGCGCCTGCCAATGGTATGTGCGCTGGGCAAGTCGATGCCACACTGCTTCAGCAGGTCCGGAGTTTAGCTTCTTTGGGCAGATGCTGGCGCAGAATCCGGGCATGCAGCCGCGGTTTTCAGCCGGTTTCCGAGAATCTGTTGCAGGTTGAGCAGGCTGGCTGTTTCATGTTGAACTCAGGTCTTCCTCGCCCAGAATGAGGGTGTCGACAGCATGATCTCCTTTGGTGGGTTCTGTTGGCCTGTCTTGCAGCAGCCAGCCACTGCTTCATTGGCCGGCGGCCAGGCACGAGGAGAAGTTTGCCAGCAGCGATATCCAATGGGCACGGGCCGCGGCTTCGACGGCGACATCGAGTAGCCGAGTAGCCGAGCTGCAGAGCTCAGTCTATGCCCGGAATGTGGACACCGAGGCGCCTGTGGCCATGACGGAGCTGGGCTACTGGCAGGCGGGACAAAACGCCTTCGAAGGATCCTTCCGTTGTTGGGTCCTGGCACCGACACATGCGAGGTGGAGCTGAAGTCTGTGAAAGTTGGCAACCAGGACAGGGCATCCAGTCATGTGAGTTGGCGCTTTCTCAGTGGAAATTATGGGTGTCATTTTGCGGCGACTCAGTCTGACTCGTCATAACAGAAACCCTTCATCATGTGCATCCACGGTGCAGTGTGCGGGTGCCGTTGACAGGTCCTTGAGGAGTGCGCAGATGGCTCGTGCCGGGCCATCTTGGACACTGGCACATCCTTGCAGAGAGCTCAGATCAGAGCAGCGTTTTGACCCCCTCTGAATCTGTGAGCCGGTCCGAGCCCGAAGATGCCACAGGTTGGGCGTCCCACGGCAGGCTGAGTCAGTGTTTTGCGACTTGAAAAGCCTCGCGTCGCCCCCCCTGAATTTGCAAGGCCGTACGTGCCATGCACCGCATGCTGGCGAGGCCAGTTGCGGAGGAGCACCTGCACTGCCCACACATTGATTTTATTCAAGGCAGTATGGGAAGCTTACTTGAGTTATTTGCGGGTGTTTCGCAGTCCTGGAGCTCAAATCCCTTACGATCAGACTCTGCACTGAAAATGCGTCCAGCATCCACGACCAAAGGGGCTCCTCACTCTCGGAGCGCCCGTTTTCGCGGAGCTTCTTGGGGATACCTGCCCTTGGATCGTGCTATGATTTGCTATGTACATTCTGCAGTAGGGCGCCTACATTCGTGTTTGTTGTTGTGCAGGATATCTCAAACCAAGGAGGCATCGATTGCCGAAGGCAACATCTTTGAGCGGCGTCGCTTTGCATCTTGTGACCGTCCAGAATATGTTGCTTAAGGCTGCCGGGATCAAAGCTGGAGTTTCAGCTTTCCGATGCAGCCACGAACCAAGAAGATTTGTGCTCGTAGTCATGGGCAATTCAAACGTTTTGTGTCCCAAGCGTGCTTTTACGTGCTGCTTTAGAAAGCGTTGGTTCAGGTTGTGAGCCTCCAGCCGGAGGATTACTCCAGGCATCTCAGAGTTGCTTCGCAGTGTGAAAATCTGTCCTGCGCCGAGCAATCTTGTGCAGGCCGTCCCCATTTAACATGACCATCCCCAATCAAGACAAATGGAGGCAAACTCTTCGGCATCAGAACCAGAGCTGTTGGACTTAATCCGAATTTTATCTGTCCAGCACGAGGTTGTTCTGCCGCTCGCTGCTCTTGCCCGTGGACATGGCGGCACCTTTGGGCCCGAAGGTCTCGACGAGATGCGCCTCAGCTTTGTCATTGTGAAGACATGCAGGTCTTCATCTGGGGCGAGCCCATGTTGCGAAGGCAAGGCTGTTCCGTTACCCATTGAACGAAGATGCTGATGGTGAGCAAGATACTACACGATTTACGACCTGGCCAACAAGCGCATTGGCTTCTCTTTGGCCAGACAACCTAGTGGCAAGGCGAGGAAGTCTTGACCTGCCTGTAACTTGGGCCTCCAAGCATTGCAGATTGTCCCAGGCATCCTCGCCTCCCATCGGTGCACCTCCAGCAGGAACGCTAGTCTCAGGACATGGCAGCCATTTTGACCTAAGCAGTGCTAAATGTGCTAACACAGATACAGCTGAATACTATTTCGCAACCAACAAGCTGGAGTTGCAAGAGAACTGTGACCATGGTTTCAACACAGGAGCACCTTTGCGCGGAGCTCAGGCTCAAGCACGCGCAGTGCAGCGTGATGACGTTCAAAGTCTTGTCGAAGCCGAGCCTATTATTTCGCGAGCAAGCGTGGTCTGAGGTCACCTGCTGCGGAGGTTGGCTGATGTTCACTGTCTTTTTCTTGCTGAACATGTTGTGTGGAGTTGAGTAGTATAACGGCTTTGCGTTCTGGAGCGGAAAACAGTGCAGGTGGTGGGATGAGATCGTCTTGCGCGACATTCGTTGTTGCATGGTTCGATTGCCAACCGTCTGTCCTGTCAGCTATGTATAATGTACAGTATAGTTGCCGGGGAGTGTAAGGAATGTTGTAAAGTTAAGACATTTGCAGCTTCTGTCGCAGCTCTTCTAGTTGCACATGGTCAAGAACACATCCTCGAAGAGTGATGCGCGAATTAAAGCTTCGTCTTTGCGTGGAGCAAGCAAAAAGAAACAGAAAGAGCAGAGCAGTAGAGCGCTTGAGTTTGACAGTGTCGCACCCTCGTTGGTGAAGCCAATGTCTACTTGGTAGCTTGGATTCAGCAGTTCTGAGCCCGTAGAGATGTGACACGATAAAAACTCCTGCGTTGCGCTGTTACGGTGGAATCGCAAGCAACAAGGGAGAAGGCATGCGTGACCCTCTCCTATAGAGCCCTTAACCCACAGAGCAAGTTCAGTACATCTTTTCAAGAGAGCTTGGGTCGGGGCGGGCAGTGGTCTTACCTAGGCAACTGACAATACATGTCATGATCGGTTCCAAGCTTCGGGTTCATCCTCGTCAGTTCCATGCTGATGGTGGCGACTGATCTACCTGATGGAATGGAATGAGAACTGTAGCCCGGGTAGCCGCTGCTCATGCCACGAAACATGCTGCTCGGTTGGTACACTGTGCTCACTAGGAGCTCGGCGTGCAGGATCGGTGTGCAGTGCGGTGCTGCCTTCCAGGAACATGCTGCCTGGGACTGCAGCTCTGTGCCAAGAAGATTGGCCACCTTGATACAACACTTCCGCCGTCATCTGAACGAGAAGGACCTTTCCTTCAGGGGGGTCACGAGCCTTCTGTTCATGTCGTGGTGCTGAGCCTTGGCATTCAGGATGTGCAAGAGGACTGCATCCTCGCTCTGCATAGCCTGCTCAAAGTTCCTGCAGTGGCTTTGATCAGCACTTCAACTGAGGCTTGCGTCTGAGTGACCTGCGCAGACAGTTGTGACAAGGTAGCTTTGATGCTGCCGTGTGGTGACACTTCGAAGAGGGCGCTGCATGAAATCGAGCAAGCAGGCCCTGGACTCAATTGCAACGCGCTCCGAGAGTTCTTTTGGCAGGCTTGCAGGTATCTAAACGAGCTGTTCGGCAGCAGTGCGACCATTTTTTGTTGCTGTTGGGCAAACAGAGAAGCTCAACGCTTGCTCTGCAAAAGGGTCCGATTCTGGCAGGCCGGCCGGCCTGTCGCCCGAAACGGCACTGTTTTAGGCTGTTGTCCTCGTAGATTCACGGCTTCCGCGCTCGAGCTTGGCTTCAAGGGCTGCTGGCGCTCGTTTGGAGGGTGATCAACTTATAGTCTTGCGGAAGTCGTTCTAGGAACGCGATAGTGTGTTGGAGTCCGACATGATGCGTCCGAAGCGGGTACGGACCGGAGCGGGTACGGATGCTCAAGCCAGGTGCCGAGATTGCCATCGTGGCCGAGACAAGTTTTTGGGATAGCCCCAGGATGCTCTACGTCTTGAAAGCCAAGCAGGTCCGACTGATGTCGTTCACTTTCACCATCTTTGACCTTTCACGTGGTGTGAGCGAAGGTCACAACTCAAAGCCCAGTGGAGCAGCTGCAAAACCTCCTGGAGGCCAAACAGCGCTTGACTCGTCTTGTCCGGCAGGCGTGCTCGGCACAGGTCGCTGCTGCAGCGACGCTACATTTGAAGCCTGCTGAAGGTCCATGGCTGTGGGCTCTGCACGAGCCTGCCACTTTGCTGCAAGTGGTCGAAGACTTAAAGAGACATGGAAAAAGCACAGGGAGCGGAGGCAGGGAGATTCCCGCAGTCCATGTCGCGCGACTTGCTCTGCAAGGACGTTTCAGCCGCGCTCCTAATCTGCGAGGCTCGGCCAGATCTGCTTGCGCCGAAGACTTAAAGACTTTCGCATTCCTAGGCTTTCTGTTTTCTCCAAATCCCGAAGGCACTGGATGACACAGAGACGTGTCTGGGCTGCAGAAGCGCAGGGATGCATGGCCCAAGACATCCCAAGCTTAACACAACACAGCACCTTCGTAGCTCCCAGCCGGCGGTGACTGCATAATTAAGCAGCAACACAAAGAGAATTATAATTACCCCAAAACGGGCAGAGGAGGCGGCCTGTCCCCCCGAGGGGGTCTGGAATCTTTGGCCAGGAAGTTTCAAGGTTCATCCCAGTTTGGATTGCACGGATCGGGACTGGAATAGGGCCTTCAAGCATTTGCCAGCATGAGGGCATCGAATTTATTCGCTTTTCATATCTCTTTCAAAGAAGCCTTTCGGACGTAACACTGGGCCAAGTTGCTTCTGGCGCGCACTTCGCAGTCTGCGCATCCTGTCGCCTGTGTGCTTGGTGGAGCAACTGCGACATGTCAGAGACCAGTACGCTCCATGCACTACGTATATTCTGGCCTGGATGAGCCTCTATGCACAGGGTATGTGGCCTTTGCTTTGCTTCTGTGTACCTTTCGCGTTCATCTTCAACGAAAAGCCGGAACTGCTGGGCGCGTCGAGTTGGGAGTTCTACACGCTCCAGGCGGCCTTGGCCTTGTCGCACAAAGGAGGACATACAGTACTACGGTAGTACGACTATAGTCCAAACATCGCGATCCCGATCTCCTGTCAGAATCGTTCTCAGCAGAATTATTGTCCTGCCAGCAGAATGCAAAAGAACGAGTCAAGGTTGGAGCATCTTCAAGGAATACCACATCCATTGGGGTCTGGGGATGTCTGAGGTAGGTCTCCGTTCTTTGCCAAGAGTCGCTAACGCTCTCTTCCCCAAGCCCGTGATAGGCCAACTGTCAGGTGGTTGTGATCTTGTGGGCCGTGGTGATGATCGGCCAGATTCGAAGTCGCGCTCGATTCCTCGATTCCTACGTGGCCGGAAAGGGCAATGGCGCCATGGTTGACGGGGATGAGATCTCACCTACGTGACTTTGCTTGAAGAGTGTATCTACAATCAATCATGTCTGTATAGGAACCCGAGCTGCAAAACTACTGTTACAGGACCGGATCGAACCTGCTTCTCAAGCAAAGCAACGTGTCCGTCAAAGTTTCGTGAAGCACAAAGTTGGGAACAGAACATTTGCAGAGAACATGCCAACTCATGTCATCATTCTGCACGCGTACAAGTCCCAAGCGCGTTGTTGCGCAATGCCGCAGCAGGCTCCATCGAGGTTCCAATATCAGGTTCCGCCGCAGTGCGTAGAACAAAAGTTCCGCGTAAGTTTCGCTTAGCGTCGTTGAAGTTCAAAGTAGAAGTAACCGTAAGCAGATCTACGAGGGCTCGATGTTGAGCTCGACTCTCCTTCCTCGACGGCTACTACGGCTACTACTAGCTACGAAGTACTACTAACTACTACTAACTACTACTACTACTACTACTACTACTAACAACAACTACTACTACTACTACTACTACCACTACCACTACCACTACTACTACTACCACTACTACTACTACTACTACTACTACTA